GACAGACATTAGTTTCCCAACTGGAAGGATGATAATCCCTCTGTCTCAAAGGAAGAAAGCAAAAGATCCATGAATAACTTATAGAACACCCCTTCTCCCCACAAGGTTCAAAAGATATTAGGATGGTATTTTTCTTCAAGGCCAATTACAGTCCTTCCAGCTCAAATGGCATTGGTTTCTCCGATGTCCTCCAGGCATCTCTCTCAACTGATTCTCTTATCTCCTTATACAAAATATCATGGAGAACAAAGTGGTGTTATTTTTTTAAATTATTTTATTTTTAAAATTAACAAACATTTATTTTTCTCTCCCTCCCACCTTCTCCCTCCAATGGAAAAAAAGGGGGAAAAAAAGAAAAAAGAAAAAGAAAAGAAAAACTCTTGAAACATATATACGTAATCAAGCAAAACAAATTCCCGCACTGGCTATGTCTAAAAATGTATGTCTCATTTTGCATGTTGAGTCCATCACCTAACATCTCTATCAGGAGCTGGGTAGTGTGCTTCGTCAGTTCTCTTGGAATGATGGTTATTTACTGCAGTGATCAGAGTTCTTAAGTCTTTCAAAGCTCTTTGTTTTCACAATGTTGTTCTTATGTAGATTGCTTTCCTGGTTCCACATCCCTTCTACATGTCTTCTTCTCAGGTTTCTCTGAAACAGTACTTTTCATCATTTACTATGACATAATAGTATTCCATTCCAATAGTATTCATATCATAACTTTTTAAGCCATTACCCAACTGATAGACATTCCTTTAGTTTCCAGTTCTCTGTTTCCAGCCACAAAAAGAGCTGTTATAAATATTTTTGTACAGATGGATCCTTTTCCTTTTTGTTTGATCTCTTTGGGGTATAGGTCTAATAGTTCTATTGATTGGGGGAAAAAAGGTATACACAGTTTATTAACTTTTTGGCTGTGGTTCCAAATATTTTCCAGAATGGTTGGACCGATTCATAGCTCCACCAATACTGTGTTAATGTGCCTGTTCTTCTTCAGCCCCTCCAACATTTGTCATTATTCTTTTTTGTCAATTTTACCAACTCGATAGGATGGTATGTCTGTCTTAAAGAACTCTTTGTGTTCCTCTAGGGGAAGCAGCACAGAGTTCTAGAATTTTTGAGGCAGAAAGGACTGCAGGAGCCATTTAGTCCAACCTCTATTTGAAAAAGAAAGATCAGTACAATATTGCTCACCAATAGCCATCCAGTTTTTGCTTGAAGGCCTCTATTTTGGCCTTTATTGAATGATATGCCCATTTTCTTTGGGGTTTTCCTCTCTTCTCTAGTGTGATTTTCCTTCCATGACACTGAGGGACATGGGCTCCAGTGACTTATAGCTCATCCCCACCTGGTGCTCCTTCCAATCCTACTAGAAAGGAAGTAGTATGCTCTTCCCCAGAAGACAATGCCCCAGCTCAACTTGGGCTGTCAGGCCATTTTCCTTGGGCCTTAGTTTACTTCCATTAAGTATATCATGCAAATATAATATAGGGAAACTAAATTACAACAACCGGCACAAGTTAGATTATATATGCTTCTACCTAAAAGGGTTTCAACAATTTAGAAACTTAGGTTAAACAAGTCCCCTAGTACTTTATTAATATTATTAATTAACTAAGGGGGCCTCTTTTTTGATTGACAGGTAAATTTCGTTCCTAGATCACACTGGGATGATAACAAATTTCAAATTAGTGCCTCTAATTACTGGACAGAGAATGCCTTTGTAAAAATCCATGCTTCCTTCACACACACACAGACTACTTCATGCTTTTGCTTTTCAGAAGTGACTTCCTGCTAAGGTAGAATAAAATTGCCCTCTGCTTTATGAAGATGATCGGTTTCAGGAAGTCCAGCCTTGTGGGTAAGAGAGTGGAGAGAGCCAATTGTTTAGGAGAGAGATGGGCATTACATGCTTCTAAAACAGGGGTTCTCTGATTTTTTCTTTTCTTTCTTTCTTTTTTTTTTTGTTGTTATGATTCTGAATCTGGAGGAATGTTTAAGTAGTAGTCTCCAAAACCCAGTTTTTGGTGTTTCTTTGTGAGACAGAGGAGAAAAAGGAAGATAGGAGCTACAGTTTAGGTAGATAAAATAGGAAATGGTCTCTTCATCAAAGGCATGGGAAAGAAAGATCTGATACCTTTATCTTTTAAAACCATCCAAGCTCCAACAATGCCACGGACCACTTGTAGTTTGAGTAAGGAGGACTAGGCAGAGGAGAAATTATTAAAATATGATATGCATTTTATTTTGTGATTCCTTACCTTCTTTCCTGCTCTTTCCTCCCTCTTCTCTGAATTAATTTGGTCAGATCTTTATCTCCCAAGCTTTTTCATACAGGGAAATGCACAGGAATGATTGGAGGTGATTACAGCCAGGTAGAGTTAGTCAAGGAAGGTTTCATGGAGGTGAGTCTTAAACTGCGTTTTGGAGATAGGGACTGAACACAATATAATAGAGAAATGAGAGAATTGTCAAGAGTCTGGATTCTAGACTGAAGATGGAAATGGGATACAGCAGTAGTTATGTGTGTGATGGTAAGTAGATTTTCCTGATTGGAACAGAATATGCATGGCAAGATTGTGAAAGACAAAAGGGCAATCAGCTAAGGGCAGGTTGGCTAGCAATTGATAGAAAGTTTGGGTGACCATGATTACCAGCTTGAATTCAGGGGAATAACTGGAGATATTTTAGGTTGGCTGAATAAGCATTTACAGAGTGGTTACTATGTGCAGAGTACTGTATTAGAGGATATGAAGGAAATGAAGGAATGTTACATTGACCCTGCCTTCAAGTATCTTATGATCTAAGCTGCTGAGAAGCAGTGGCATGTCACATAAATGATAGAATGTTGCCTATATGAGCTGCAGTCTCATCTGGAAGCACATCCCAAAGCTGAAAGATCATCTAGCCCAATTCCCTCATTTTACATGAGGAAACATAGACCCAGAAAAGTGAAGTCATCATCACAGGATCATAGATCTAAAGATGGAAGGGACCTGAGAGTCCTAGTCTGAAATGAACATTTTACAAATGAAGAAACTGAGGCCCAGAGAGATCAGTAATCCATAGTGAACCCAAGTCTTTCCACTCTAAAGTCAATGCTATTTACACTGTTACTACATCACCTTCCCATGTTCATTCAAGAAATAAATGACTACACCTGGAATCTGAACAGAACTCTGACTCCAACTTCTGGGCTCTCTCCACTTTTCCAGCACATCCTAAGTGACCTTTGTGGATGATGATTTGGGCAACTTTAGGACAGCCCACTTTTTTATCTTCTAGGACTTTTCAAAGAGAAATCATGAAATATTGCCTGAAAATAGATGTTCCATTGCATTAATTATATAGATGTGATTCCCCAGAGACTCCTCTCCAGGCATGAAGAATTGAAAGATTAGACCTGAGGACTATCCTTAAGAATGATGGTCGGTTGGACACCTCTGGAGTTGCAAGAGAAGACTCATGTTCCTTATTTTAAAGCTCCCTTTTCCTGTGGGTTGGTGTAATTTCTGGACAGGACAGAGGTCACCAGAGCCGAGACAAGGCGCTTGCAGGTTTTAGGCAAGGTTTGAGAGCTACATTTCTTTGTGTTGCTGTTTGTGTTAGCTTTCACTATATCATATGAAATGACTTTTCAAAGTGCCTATCAGGAAGAGCAGGGGTTTTTTTACATTAAAAAAATGTGCATTAAAAGCCAACTTTGAGGGCATCCCTTATTTTGCTCCTTTGCACACTGTACCTTTGTTAGGTGCCCACATTGCCTGTTACCCATTTTGGCTCTGGAAGCCACAGTCATCCTCAGATAATTTATTAAAAGTGCCTTGTTTTGTGTATTATATGGCAGGAACCTCTATGGGAAATACTGCTTGAGTTAGGGATCTATTGCTATGCAGCAGTGCCTGGATTTCAAGGAAAGAATGAGTTTTACAATGACAAATGACTTGTCAGCAGTGTGGACTAGCTGTACTGCTAGTAACTGACTGGCTCCAAATCATTTTGCTGCAGTCAAGTTAGACAAAAGTAGTCAGGAAAGGAATCATGATGTGGACAGAGTGCTGGATATAGGATTTAGTGGACCTGGGTTCAAATCCTAGCTCTAGTGTCTTCTTCCTACCAGTGTAACAATACACATTATTTTATCTCATTGGAACTCAGCTGCTCTATCAACAAAATGAAGGTGTTGGGATAAGACGGGTCTCTAAAGTCCCATATAATTCTAAACCTATGGTTCTAAAATTCAGCTTTATACATACCTGCAGAAAGACCTTTATGGATTAATCATATGAAAGGGTTTTCACTTGCAAGGGACTTTTGAAGACTAGTGATCACTGACAGGATGGTTAAAAATGGTTAGAAAGAACAAAATATTATAGCTGGAAAGGATCTTAGAGACTTTCTAATCCAACTCTCTCATTCTCTAGAGCAGGGGTGGGGAACCTGGGGTCTGAAGGCCACCTGTGGCCCTCTAGGTCCTTAAGTTCAGCCCTCTGACTGAATCCAAACTTCACAGAATAAATCCTTTTATTAAGGGGATTTGTTCTGTGAAGTTTGGATTTGTTCTGTGAAGTCTAGATTCAGTCAAAGGACTGAACTTAAGGACCTAGAGGGAGGCCCCAGGTTCCCCACCCCTGCTCTAGAGAAAGAAACTGAGGTCCAGGGATGTTTGGTGGTCATACTGCTGCTTTGTGGCGGGGCAGAAACACCTGGCTTCCAGTTCTTTTCCAGGATGTAATTTCCCTGTGTTTAGAAAGATGGGTAAACCTTCCTCCTCCCTCATCAACCAAACCAGTGTACATCCAGGGCACTGAGTCTTGACTAATAAAAGTTTATATAAAAAGATTCATTTTAGTTAAGGCTACCTCTTAAAATCAGAGATAATGTAGAATTCTAGACTATTAGAACTGAAAGGGGCTTTAGAACATGGAAAATTAGAACACAGAATATCAGATCTGGAATACAGAATGTTAGAACATACACTGTCAGAGCTGGACAGGATGTTAGAGACCATCCTGTCCAACCCCTTCATTAGACAGATAAAATGCATCCTCAGTTAAACATTATCTAGTGTTAACTCAACTCCCCATCCCCCACTGCCAAGGATGGAGGAAGGAGCAGGATACATTTCAGTTTATTCCAGGGGTAGGAGGAATTACAGGTGAGTGGTGGATTCTTTGGTATAGAAAGCCTCTTCTCTCCTACGTGGTTACCAAATTAATATGTTAATTAACACATGTTTGTTTATAAACACGGGCGGCCTCTACAGGTATGTGCATCCCCAAATGATTCACCCAGCTGTTTTATGGTGAAGTTCAAGGGTTATTTCGGCTTCACCTGCAGGGCAATTGTTACTGGCTCCTTTCCTGGGGGATCGGCATGTTTTCAGGAGCTTACTCTAGCTGCCCCAGTAGTCCAGTTCTCTCCCCTCCTCTCCTCTCCTCCCGCGCTTCCTCTCAGTCCTCACGGTGGTGGCAGGAAATTCACAAGCAACGCCAACTTTCCCAGCCAGCTCACCGCAACTGCCCACAGCTCAGGGGGCGTGTTGTCTCGGCGATTTAGAGAAAAAAAAATGTGAGTCTCTGGGTATGTGGTTTCCAGTTTGTAGATTCGACTCCGAATCCAAGAGAGAGGGGGCTTGGGAGTGGAATGGAAACGCCTTGACCAACACAAACACACATATACATATACACACTCACACGCTCTCTCTCCCTCCCTCTCTCCCCTCACACACACGAGCGCGCGCGCACACACACGCATACACACACACACACACGCATACACACACACACACACGCATACACACACACACACACACTCACTCACTCACTCACTCAACAAAAAAGGGCCGCTGGTCGCCTCTCTCCACCCTAGCCCCTTCCAGCAATGTATGTAGGAACCAGAACGCGGGCTCTGGGTGGGGGGGTTAGGGGCTGGGGGCCGGGGCGGGATGGGGACTAGTTCCACAGCTCAAGATTTCTACCAACACTTTCAAAGGGATCCCAGGCTCATTTTACCTTAGGAGAACGAGGGAAGGGAGAACACCAAGGGGAAGCCGGGATTTTCTCAAGGCGCGATCTTCTCCTTCTGTGGGTTCCCCTGGGGCCCATCGCCGCGGCTGCCTCCAGCATCCCACCCCCCAGTCCCCCAGCCCTAGACTACCTGTCAAGGGCCTGGGGCCGGGGCCAGCTTAAATGCCCGACTCGCGCGCTGACCTGGGGGTAACCCCCCTACCGTTCCCCTCTTCCCCCCTAGTCGGGAGAGGGGGGGGCGGGGTGGGGGAAGGTGGGGGAGGGCAGGGGAGAGAAAAAGGCGGCGCCGGCTCGGCTGGGACATGTAGTTTGACGGGTCTCGGCCTCCCTTTGGCTGCCCCGGCGCGGGGTCCGGCTCCAAACTACGACTCCCGCCAGGCCATGCGCCGCAGCGCATGAGCCCTACATAGCTCTAGCGCATCTATTATGCTGCCTTGCCGAGGATAAAAAGAAGAGCAACCGGAGGGACTATAAGGCAAACGTTGCTGAAGCTGCCGGGGCAAAGTAATCTATTTAATCTTACCCTTATATTCGTTTGGTGCTGCGGTTGCATTGCTATCTCCAATCCGTCTTTTCTGGCGGGGTGTGTGTTGGAGGGTTGGGGGGCGAGGTGGGGGCGAAGGAGAAGCCTGTTCAGAAAGGCCAGTGCCTGGTGGAAAGAGTAAAATGCTCCCTGGGTTCTGCAGCCTTTGTGCATTGCAACAATGTAACAAAGCCAGCTTGGGGAACCGAGACACTGTAGCTGGCTGGGGTTGTGTATCTGTGTGTGTGTGTATGTGTGTCTTTGTATGTTGTGTGCGTGTGTGTGTGTGTGTGTGTGTGTGTGTTCCACCTCCCCTCCTCTCCTCCGGATCGGGGCGCCCAAGGAGGAGCCCCGGCGGACGGCTGCCTCGCGATCGCTTGCTTCTTTGGTCGCCCCCTCCCCTTCCCCCGGCGCCTCCCGAGGCGCCTTCTTGCCCCCTCCTTGATCTGCTCCCCCTAGCCCGCCAGCCGCCCTCCCTGTACCCCGGGCGCCCCAGCTCCCGACCTGGGAGCTGGCTGGGCTGGAGCGCAGGGAGCTCCGGCCGGCCGCACAGAGCCAGCCTCGTCCATCGCTTGTTCACGGAAGGGAATTTTTTTTTTCCTCCCTGTGCCCGCCATCTTTTGAAGGGGGAAAATAAGGGGGAGAAGGGAAAGGTGAGCCGAGGCACCCTCCCCAGCTGCCCCAGAGGCGAGGTCGCTCCAGCCGGACATTGCCTTGGCGGCTCTCCCGAGGCTCCTGCGAGCAAATGGCTCTTCAGTTTCGATCCGCGGCGAGTTTCCCGGCTGGAGAAAGCCGCCCCCACCCTCCGCCTTTCCCTCCTTCGCCTCCTCCCTCCCTCTCTCCTCTCTCCTCTCTCTTCGGCCGTCCCTCCCGGCTCCGTCCAGTTTGAGTTGCGGCTGGGGGAAAGAGGGGGCTGGAACCAGGGCACTGGGAGAGTGGGGTGAACACCAGGGAACTAAGGCCCGGGGAGGGGGCCACGGGGCGGGGGCAAGCTTGGCGGGAGGGAGGGTGGCTCGTCCTGGCCTGGGTTACCCGCTCTTCGAGGCGCTCCCGAGGCGGGCTCCAGGTGGGCTTCCTTCCGATCGGTTTCTTTGGCCTTTTCGCCCAAAGTTCCGTGGTCAGGGCGGGGGAAGGAGATACACAGAGAGAGAGAGAGAGAGAGAGAAGTGAATTTTGGGGCCTCAGAAAGGGGCTGAAGCTCAAATTCAAATTCAGACTGAACAGTGTGTTTAAGCAAATTTAAGGCGAGGGCACTCGGGTCTTGTGGAGTGTGTTATGGATTTCTCTTTTCTTTCTCACCCCAATTTGGCTCGCGGTGGCATCTTCCAAAATTGTGCCAAAGTGAGGATATAAGGGTGACTCTCCCAACTCACATGGGAATGAATATTCATTTCAAAATCCCCTCTTGCTCCCACTTGGCAAAGGAGACTATTCCTTTTTTCTCCACTTGTATTCACGAGGAACTGAAATGAGACTCCAGCAGAAGGCATGATTTCCTTTCTCTTTGCAAAGTTTTCAAGGAAAAGGGATGATGGTAACTCTCAGTCTGGGATTTGCCTCTTTCTCCTAGATGTCATGGATTTGGAAGGATGAAGGCATTGAAAGTGAATGGAATGCTCATAATCTATGGATCATTGATTTGATGGGCCGTAGCTACTCTAGAGCAGCTATAATAGTCCATCTTGTTAACTCACACTTTTAGGGACCTTTAAATAATGGGTCACAAAGGCTTCTGTGGTAGTTTATCATTTCAATGGGAAGCTAAATTTTTGGCTAAAAGCCTTCTGTTTTACAGTGCCCTAACCTGTCATCACCACCACTTGCATTTGAAATGCAAGTCCCCCTAGCTTCCTGGCAAAGTTAGAGTGTGTGTGTGGGGGGGTGACTCATGTGTGAATGAGCCAGGTGATGGATAGGCGAGGTATCCAAAACAAATGAGAGATTTCCATAGAATAAATTTAGACAAAGATAAGAGAACCTTTAAGCATTCTCCTCATTCTCTAAGAAAATTCCAAGAAAAATGCCTGTCTGGGACTGTTTTTTAAATACTCTCCCCACTCCAATGTTTTCCTTTTAATGGAAGTTCCAACCAATCAATCAATCAACAATTATTTATTCAATATTTATTCAGTTATCTATGTATATTCAATATTTATTCAATATCTATATCAATATCAATATCTAGTACTTAACACCATTACATCTTGAGCTCAGAAGTATGACCTGTTGGATCTGGTTGATTTTGAAGCAGTGAAGCATCATATTTGCAATTAAAGTGACTGATTTAGCCCGGCTGCCTTTAGAACCTGAAGTGGCCCAGTGATTCCAGATGGTGAAATAATAGGGTACGTAGTGTCATAGGGACATCAGGATCATTTTCTGACCTTATTGGTAATGTTGAAACAAAATTCCATTTGCATAGTTTTTTTAAAAAGGTCTTTCTAGATTCTAAATAATTTTTAAAAATAGGTCTTGCTGAAGTTGTGATACAGACTCAATCTTTGATGTTTTCAGGTATTAAAAAGTAACCTTTGAAATATGAATACTACTGTATTGAGTTCCTTTGAAATCAGCTTGCACATGCTTGGGAAGCAAACTTGTAAATAAGTTTCAGTATTAGTAAACATTCTGTTCTCTTCCTGAAACCCACTAAAGCCTGAATAACAGAAAGTGAAACTCCTAGAGGAAAAGAAAAAAGTGAAACTGACCATCCTAGACTCTTAGAATGCCCACTAACTTTTCATTAAATAGTTCCAGCCCTTTCCCTTCAGCAGTGAGGAAGATTTCTGTAACAACCCAAAAATGCCAGTTAGTGGAGGAGTCCAGTGAAAATAAATAGTTGGTCCATAATAAGATGCATAATATTCTCAGTTTGTGATCTTGGTCTTTTCATTTACTTTGTTTATGGAAGCTAAGCTAAGATTGTATAATTATTGATTAAGCACATATTTTAAAATTTAGATAACTTAGTGACTGGATTAGTTCTAATGAAAACATCTGGCTTTATGTCAAATCATTTGTATGCCAAGGTTCATGTTGGAAAGAATTGTGGTACCTCTAAGATCCATTCCTAGCAGTATTTATGTTAGTTTAAATATATATAAAATATACGTATATGTGTATATAACATATGCATATACATACATGTGTGTATATATGCACATGTATATGAATACAAATTCTAACTTCACAGATGTAGCTATTACAATCAGTGAACCAAATTATAGCCATTATCTATTTGCTCCTTTTTAGAGTGTATGAAATGATTGAATCTTCAGTATTGATCAGTTAGTGGGCACCAGATCTTTCTGCTCCCTTTGACTTATGCTTGCAATTCTTATTCATTCTTAAAAATATATTATGATTATGTCAGAAACCTATAGTTTCATGACCCTGATATAGATTCCAGAGCATGAAAAATCATGGTACATTGGGTGAAATCTTTTTTTTTCCCTAAGGAGAGGTCAGGTAAAAGAATGAGGAATATGCCCTCTATGGGTACGTGAGGTGGGAATCACAAAGGGGAGGGGGGTGATTTCCTTTGAAACTATCTTCGCTAAAACCATTATTTTAAAAAATACTTAATTTCAAAACTACTGCTAGTAACCTCCCTCCTAAACCAGCTTGTATTTAATTACTTTGTATTTATTTGTGTTCACTTTGTATTTATGTTGTATGTACTTATATATGTGCTTGACTCCCAAATTAGATTGTGAGCTCCTTGTGAGTAGGAATTGTTTCAGTCTTTGTACTTACATCCCCACCCAGAACCTAGCCCAGTGCCTGGTAGGCATTTAATAAATACTTGTTGATTGATTGAAAATGAGTGGGATGAATGATAAACTTTTTTTCTGGACCTTAAGAGGGTGAGTGCTATAGGAACATGTGGGTTATTTTCATGGATTTTTTTCCGTACCCGAGCTCCTTTGGGAGGCTTGGTATGACAGCCTAAAGATCACTTGCATTGCTTCTTGACTGCCTCCCTCCCTTCCACAGCCAAGGCAGTGTTGGGTACAGAAAGATAAAACAAGAGTCCTTGCAACATTGATGTGTTTCACGTATTTGGGTCAAGTTTTTACTAAGAAGAATTGATTTGGTTTTATGCCCGGTTCTTAAGTGTGATTTTGTATCTCCCTCATGCCTACAGTTGCTCTAGAATAAACACAGTGACCTAAGCATCTCTTTCCATTTGATTTTCCAAAATCCATCCCTGGATGCCAGCATGAACTAGGGTAGAATATGGATATTCCTGTTGTCTCCTATCAGACAGTTGAAAACTACTTTTCAGAAAGAATAAAGGATGGGATGGGGTGGAGAGAGTGGGAAAACCTTACTCACATTGTATAAACATCTTTTGTTCCTGTTAATTCTGCCAGCCTCTCCAAGGTATAACCCTGAAAGGCAAGAGAATCTTTGGTGGGAAAAGAGTAAGTGGGTGGAAATTGTGTTGTCTGTTGCTTCAACTTGTGGTACTAGTGTTGTATCTTTGTAAAACCAACTTTTTTTTTTTTTAGCAACCAGCCCTCTAGATTTGGTTTTCTGCTTTACTTTGTTTTTAGTGCTCAACTATAACATGGGGTCAGACCCAGGAAAAAGGAGCACCTCAGAGAATGCCTTTTGCCCCCTTGAAGGCCACTGAAAATATTGGTGGACAGAAGTTGATGAAGTGTGTTGGAGATCCAGTAAGTGGCAGATTCTCTGAGTACTGGGTAAAATATAAAACTCAATGAAATTGGATGGCAGGGGGTGGGGGAAACAAATTGTTTTTTTTTTTATAGCAGAGTTTATTTGGGGTTTTGATATTGCCTTTTAAATGCTAATCTGGGGTAAAACATTTGTAGGGTATTTAGAAACTGTTAAGTGTAATCTGAAAATGTTATAGGCATAACTATGTGCAAATTGTAACTCTTTAAGAAAGCACAAAAATACATCAGAGCTTTGCTACTTTGTAACTCATCAAGAATCAAAGACAACTAACAACAAATCAGCAAAGAAAATTAATTTGAGTTCCTAATGGATATTCAGCTCTAGACTCAGAATGCTAGGGGTGCCATGGAAGTATAAAACACAGCTGCTGCCAGGAGCCGGGGAGTCCATAGTCCAGAGTGAAAAGTCATGGAAATGGAAATATTATAATTTTTAAAATAATAATACAGAATTTAAATAACCATGTAAGACATTTAGCCTGGTAGGTGTATCTCTTGTGTAATCAGGTGGCAGCAATAGTCCATAGCTACCAAAGGATGCTGGGCCCTGGAAATCTTGAAATCCTCTAAGAAAGTGGCATGAGGCCCTATCTTTTAGACCATTATGACTGTTTTGTTCCTCAGTTTTCATGATTCTGAATTATCTTTTTCATCAAAACCCAGTTTCCGTCTAGGAACCTAAGCTTTTCAGATGGAGGAAGGGTAAGGAAACCCTGTTACTATATGGGAAGTATAGTTTGGGGGGGGGGGAAACATTGTGGAATCTAATAAAGGCCTCAATGGAGAGAGAAATGGAACCATCCAAATTGTCTGTTTCCAAACTTTTTGCAATTTGATGAGCACTCCCAAGTTATTACTTTAAAGAGTAGCTCTAATACAAATTTCATGCAGTCATCCCATTAGGAGTTATGGAAATATTTGCTGGAGCTGTTGTCTTCAGCTGTACTTGACATACACAAATGTTTCTATTCTGTGTATTTCTACTGGGATTTGTACTCTTTCCATGGCCATTTAAAAAAAATGCAAATATGTTTTTCCAGACTGAAATGTGTGGGGCTATTTCCTGGGGCTGGGTTGGATTAAAATGCAACATATTCTGCTGTTGCTTCGTGTTGCTGCTTTATCCTTTTTTGGTTGTTCCCAGAGTCTGAGGGGGACATGAATTAAAACTTGTCATTTGGGATGGGAGGTTATTTCAGAGAAACTAAGAGATAAAACAAAGCTGGGTGACGTTCTAGAGGGGAGCTCTAAATTGGAAGTGCTTTGCCACTTAGTGCACCCCTACCCCTACCCCAAACACTGGGATGTTCCCATTTCACAATCGTAGTGGTTGCAGATGTGTGGTTCTTGCTCGGTCTCTGTTGCTTTTGAGTTGACAACTTCATTCTAAATAGAATGGGTTGTCTGTATATAATTCTATTAGGGAATTTCCCATTTCTTTGAGCTTGGAACTAATTTTCTGACCCCAAAATGAGCTGGATTAGTTAGTGCTTTGGAAGTCACTTTTACCACTTTTTGCAAGTTGCTTTTCCGGCTGTTTCTTATATTATCAGATCTAACTGTAACATACATTTTCATAGGATCTAGAGCTGGAAGGGACCTTAGAGGTCATCTACTCCAACTGACTATTGTACAGATGAGGAAACTGAGGCCTAGAGAACTTATGTGACTTGCCCAAGGCCATACAGGTAGTAAATAGCAGAGCAGGAATTCAAACTCAGGTCCTTCCTTTGACTCCAAATCCAGTGCTCTTTACCCACTACCCACACAGCCACATAGGGGGATGTGTCCTCAGTGAGGTACTTATATGGGTGCCTTCCTATCATACTTTCCTTGGTATCCAAATAGTGGGAGGACTATAGGCTAAGATTCTTTCATTATGTCCATTGTTAAATCCCTTTGGATGAAAGCTAATGCAGATGAAATTTATATCAAGCAAGTCACTTACCCACTATGGGTCCCATGTCCCCTGCCTGTAATCAATCAGTCAATCATTGAGCATTATTAAGTACATCCTAGGTGCCAGGTACTATGCTTAAGTGTTGGGAATACAAAGACAAAAAGATGAAACACTCCCCATTCTCAAGGGTCTTACATTCTGTCATCATCTACACAGAGAAAAGGTTAGATCAAATCATCACCAAGGAACCTTTGATTCTGTGGGTCTGAAGCAAATCATGCCGTAGGGAGCTTTTAGTTTGTAATCAGTCCATAAGCCACAATTTTCTCCCAAATTATCCTTGCATTCATCAGTAAGGAGACATGTTAGGCATTCTCCAGGTCCTCTTTATATAATTTCACTGGAAGATCTATTTTCTTTGTCCCTATAACTCATTCTCAGGCCCCTAAATAAATTAGTTGAGTTAGATCTTTTTGACAGACACTTTTGCCACTGTCCTGGAGAATAGTGGGCTTTAGCAGAGTTTTAGAAATACTTGTATTTTTTTTAACCAAAGTAATTGTTCAGAGTGAGGCTTCCTGCTTCTGTGAAAGTCTATAACTGCAAATGACTGGGTCTCTTTCTCTTATAAGGTGGATGATTGTGGCTGGAGTAGAAAAGGCTGGATGCAGGTGACTTGTTTGCCAATTAGTTTCTTTGGGCATAATCACTTTAGTAATCTCAAAGGCCCTTCCAGCTCAGATATTCTGTGTCTAATTTCCTTTATTTTCTAAAATCCCACTTAGTTCTATCATTCTGTGTTCTAAGATGACTTCAAACTATAAAATTTCTTTATTCAGTGACCTGATGGATGGTGCATACTTGAAAAAAAAAAAGGAAGTGCTTAGTTTAAACCCTTCCTCTCCATTAAAAAAAAAAAAGTAAAATCATTAAAGAGGAACACCTATGGTTAGCATACCTCTCACCTGTTTTATCTTTGTGTAGATTGTTGGTCAGTAGTGGCTTGGCATCCCCCCCCCATTCCTTCCTTCCTGAAAAGGGAAGAAATAGAAATGGAAGTAAATAAAATCCAGTAATCTGGGTCTCTCTAAAAGAAGGAGGAGGAAATTAGTTGAGAGAAATAAAGAAAAACCAGAAGTGTGACCAATATGTAGATCTGGACATGTAATGCTGTGACAAAACTCCTGTGATGCTGATGTTTTGAAAAAAAAAACAAGGAACAGAAGCTGAAGGGTTTCTGAAGAAACATGAAGCTTTTAGAAAAACCGGATTGAGAAAGTATGAAGAAACTTCAAAACAAGAGTCAATGAGTAAGTGTTAATGTTTGGTCATTAAGGGCTAAAACCAGCATCATTTCAGAATCTGGGTGCCCAGGATACTGGGAGTCTGATTCAGTGAAATTCTGTACACAATTCAAAGAAATTCCTGAATGGGGATGGAGGGTGGGAGTGGTATGGTGTGAGGAAACAGCAAGGAGGGTGATTTTAACCTGGAACTCAGTCATAAACTTGGAGCCCAACCAAAAGGAAAAGGGAAAAAATGACCTTAGTTCTTGGAGAGGTTGTGTGGTCTAGTACAAAGATGGCTGGATTTTTCACCAAGAGAAACTTGAGTTCAGATCTTGTTTCAGCTGTATGACCATGGCCAAGTAAGGCACTTAAGCTCTTTCTGAACTTCACTTTCCTTATTTGTAAAATGAGGATCATAATACCTCTACTGCTTACCTCAAAGGATTATTGTGAGGATCAAATGAAATAATGTACCCAAATTATCTTGCAAATCACGAATTGTCATAGAAGCATCTGCCGTAGTGGTGTTACTGTTGTATAAACTGAAGAGCTATGAGAAACTGTTTACTGAAAGGGGAATTTGGGAGCAGACCTCTGTCTAGATTTACTGTAAGGGCCCAATTTATGTGTTAACCTACCCCAAGTTGGAATAAAGAAAGGAGATTTCTTTGAAAAAAAATTTTTTAACTGGATTTCTAATTCTCTTTGTCCAGACTTTATATGCCCCCAGATCTCTTTGTATTGTGGTAAATTAATCTCTTCACTCTACTTAGCTAACAGTGTGTGTGCTGAAGCTGCAGGGAAGAGGGACTGCAAAGGAAGAGCCCAGATTTTAGAGGCCTGAGCTCTGGCAGAGAAGTCCCCCAAGGGAGGGAAATGGGGGGGAGAGCCTTGTGCTTGGGGCCTGCCTTGGGCCAGTGGCTTTTACTCCCAGATGCATCTCATTGCATGATGATTGCCTGCATTCCATTGGAATGCACTGGTTTATTTCATTCAGGAAACAGTTGTCTCAGTCCGTCACAGGGGCCAGGCACCAAGAGTCTCAGGAGCAAGGATTTGCCTTCTTGGATCCAGTTTCATGTGACTTAGAATGGCAGCTCTTTAGCATCCAGGAATGGATTTTATGTATGCTCTGGGCTGCACCTATCACACCATGGGCTTTCAGTAATTATTAAATAGCTGTTGTGGTAATTGCCCCTTTGCAGATAACTTTAATTCAGTGTCCCTTAATGCATGCCTGGTCCTAGTTTCCCCACCTTTCAAATGGGGAATAATAACCTTAACTCCTGTTTATATGAACAGCTTAGAACAGTACGAAGAGCTCAGTAGACCTCTAATGGTGGTGGTGGTGGTGGTATCAAACAGTAGGATATCAAGGTGGGTAAAGCCTTGGCCTTGGAGTCAGAAGACCTGGCCCCTAGTTCTGGTTCTGCCACTTCTTACAAGCCATGTTGACTTTGGATGAATGAATCACTCCTTCTCTCTGAGCCTCAGTGTCCTTATCTGAAAAAATGAGCATGATAATATCAGCTCCACTTCCTTCACAAAGTGGTTAGTGGGAGGGATGAATGAGGTAATGTATTGAAAAGTGCTTTTATAAACTCTAAAGCAGTACGCATGGGGTTGGTGCTGATGCTGGTAGTTAGTAGTAAGGATCTGCGTATAAGATATAAGCAAGAGAGGGAACCCTTTAATGCCATGTTGCTTTACTCCCTGGGAGAATTTATTCCATGAAGGCCTGTAGAGCTATTTAGTAGGGATGTGGTATGGCACTAATTCTACAAATG